CTCCCGCGAGGGCGACGAGCACCAGGAGGATCCTCATGGTGAGGGGTGAGGACACCGGGATGGAGAGACCCCCCTAATCCAGGAGAAACCCCCTCCAGGAGCTGCTGCCCAAGGCCACGTCCCGCGGAGGCGGCGACAGCGGGAGCAGCTGGGCCGGGAACGGCTCCCAAAGGTTTTGCTTTCCTTGGCAGAGTCAACGCTCAGAGCAGCCGAGTTGGGCAGGATCTGATAACGGAGCCCAGCCCGGAGCTGCCCAGGGGTGAGGGCACGGGAGGGGCACAGGGCCCCAAAATACCCAAGGGGGACACTCTGAGCCTCCCTGGATTTCTGTATCCCCCACTTTCGCTCCCGTGGGTTCCTTTATTCCACGTCCCTGTTCACGAGCCAATTATAATTATGATTTATGTGTAATTAGAAGCTGCTACGAATTCACCAGCAGCAAAGCAAACAGGTGAACACATATATATATGATTATATATATATATACATACAATAATCATATATCTATGTAACTAAAAATATATATGAAATTCACAATATGTTATTCAAATTATTATTCGCATTATTATTCATATTATTATTCAATTCTTTATTTAATTTATTGTTCAAATCATTGTTCAAATTATTGTTCAAATTATCACTCAATTTATTATTCAATTTACTATTCAATTTATTAATCAAATTATTGTTCAAAATATTATTCAATTTACCATTCAAATTATTATTCAATTTTTAAATCAATTTATTATTCATTTTATTATTCAATTTATTATTCAATTTATTGTGCAAATTATTATTCAAAATATTATTCAATTTATAATTAAATTTATCATTCAAACTATTATTGATTTTTTAATCAATTTATTATTCAATTTTTTGTACAAATTATTATTCAATTTATCATTCAATTTATTAATCAAATTATTATTCGAAATATTATTCGATTCATTATTCAATGTATTAATCAATTTATTGTTCAATTTATTATTCAATTTGTTGTGCAAATTATTATTCGAAATATTATTCAATTTACAATTCAATTCATCACTCAAATTATTATTGATTTTTAAAATAAATTTATTATTCTTTTTTTGGTACAAATTATTATTCAATTTATTAATCAAATTATTATCATTCAAAAAGTTATCCGATTTATCATTCAATTCATCATTCAAATTATTGCTCAATTTTTTAATCCCTTTATTATTCCACTTATTATTCCATTCCCGTCCTTCACTCCGGGGACGAGGAGGACGGATCAGACGGATCACGTCCCTCCAAACATCCCGGCTGCCCCGGAGCGGCGCGGGGACGTTCCCCCGAGAGCCAGGGGCTCCTTTTTGGGTGGAAACCGCGCGATTTGGGTGTTTTAGCCGGGAGGTCACTTTGGCACAGAGGTGTCTTTGTTCCTGGGTTACAGCAGCGCTTTGTTCCCGGGCCACAGCAGCGCCTTTGTTGGGCCCTTATCTGCCGCGATGCCCCCGAGCTCTCACCTCGCCCGGCCCTGGCCGGGATGCTCCGGCTTCCTGGGCCGCATTCCCGGGCTTCCTGGGCCGCATTCCCGGGTTTCCTGGGCCGCGTTCCCAGCCCGGAAGGCGCGGCCCGCAGAGGGTTTTTAGGGCAGACGTCTCCCGGCGGGGTTTTGCCCCGTTAAAACCAGGATTTCTCTCTGTTCCGGGGTTGTTGTGGCTTGGGAAAGGTGGTCTGGACTAAACTAAGGAGTCTGAACTAAAATAATGAGTCTGGACTAAAATAATGAGTCTGGACTAAACTGGGTCTGAACTGAGGTTTTTTTGTGGTACATCAGGTGGGTCTGAACTAAACTGAGGACTCTGAACTAAACCAACGAGTGAGTCTGAACTAAACTAAGGAGTCTGAACTAAACTGAGTCTGAACTAAGGTTTTCTGTGACACCTCAGGTGAGTCTGAACTAAACTAAGGAGTCTGAACTAAACTAAGGAGTCTGGACTAAACTGAGTCTGAACTGAGGGTTTTTTTGTGGTACATCAGGTGGGTCTGAACTAAACTGAGGACTCTGAACTAAACCAACGAGTGAGTCTGAACTAAACTAAGGAGTCTGAACTAAACTGAGTCTGAACTAAGGTTTTCTGTGACACATCAGGTGAGTCTGGACTAAACTGAGGAGTCTGACCTGAGGTTTTCTATGGCACATCAGGTGAGTCTGGACTGAACTAAGGAGTCTGAACTAAACTGAGTCTGAACGGAGGTTTTCTGTGATACATCAGGTGAATCTGAACTAAACTGAGTCTGAACCAAACTGAGTCTGACCTAAGGTTTTCTGTGACACCTCAAGTGAGTCTGGACTAAACTGAGGAGTCTGAACTAAGGTTTTCTGTGATACATCAGGTGAGTCTGGACTTAAACTAAGGAGTCTGAACTAAACTGAGGAGTCTGAGCTGAGGTTTTCTATAGCACATCAGGTGAGTCTGGACTGAACTAAGGAGTCTGGACTAAACTGAGTCTGAACTGAGGTTTTCTGTGACACCTCAGGTAAGTCTGAACTAAACTGAGGAGTCTGAACTAAACTGAGGAGTCTGAACTAAACTGAGGAGTCTGAAAGGAGGTTTTCTGTGACACATCAGGTGAGTCTGGAACTAAACTGAGGAGTCTGAACCAAACTGAGGAGTCTGAACTAAGGTTTTTTGTGACACCTCAAGTGAGTCTGGACTAAACTGAGGAGTCTGAACTAAACTGAGGAGTCTGAACTAAACTGAGTCTGACTTAAGGTTTTCTGTGACACCTCAGGTGAGTCTGGACTAAACTGAGGTGTCTGGACTAAACTGAGGAGTCTGGACTAAACTGAGGAGTCTGAACTAAGGTTTTTTGTGATACATCAGGTGAGTCTGGACTTAAACTAAAGAGTCTGGACTAAACTGAGGAGTCTGAACTAAACTGAGTTTGACCTAAGGTTTTCTGTGACACCTCAGGTGAGTCTGGACTAAACTAACAAGTCTGAACTAAACTAATTAGTCTGAACTTAAGGTTTTCTGTGATAGATCAAGTGAGTCTGAACTGAACTAAGGAGTCAACTAAACCAAGGAATCTGAACTAAACCGAGTCTGAACTGAAGGAGGTTTTCTGTGACAACTCAGGTGAGTCTGAACTAAACTAATGATTCTGAACTAAACTGAGAAGTCTGAACTAAGGTTTTCTGTGATACAACAANTCAGGTGAGTCTGAACTAAACTAATTAGTCTGAACTAAACTGAGTCTGACCTAAGGTTTTCTGTGACACCTCAAGTGAGTCTGGACTGAACTGAGGAGTCTGAACGGAGGTTTCCTGTGACACCTCAGGTGAGTCTAAACTAAACTAAGGAGTCTGAACTAAACTGAGGAGTCTGAAAGGAGGCTTTCTGTGACACATCAGGTGAGTCTGGAACTAAACTGAGGAGTCTGAACTAAACTGAGTCTGAACTAAGGTTTTTTGTGACATATCAGGTGAGTCTGGACTAAACTAATTAGTCTGGACTAAACAGAGTCTGAACTAAACTGAGTCTGACCTAAGGTTTTCTGTGACACCTCAGGTGAGTCTGGACTAAACTAACAAGTCTGAACTAAACTAATTAGTCTGAATTTAAGGTTTTCTGTGATAGATCAAGTGAGTCTGGACTAAACTAAGGAGTCAACTAAACTAAGGAATCTGAACTAAACCGAGTCTGAACTGAGGTTTTCTGTGACAACTCAGGTGAGTCTGAACTAAACTGAGGAGTCTGAACTAAACTGAGGAGTCTGAACGGAGGTTTTCTGTGGCACCTCAGGTGAGTCTGAACCGA